CACGGACTACACCTAGTATTCCTCAAGATGGCCGAGTACATCGCCGATCCAATGCCCTAAGTATTCCGACTCTCACTTGCAGAGAACCGCTTACCTAGCGCTTGGAAAGTATGAATAGTAATGTCTAGATACAAACGGGACCTGCAGGACCCTGCGAACTACCGGCAGACATGTATCAGGTCTGCTGCCTGCAAAATCATGGGGAGGATACTCAAGCGCGCTCTCAACACTCACTGGGAAGACTTATGCATAATCTTCCCCTTACAGAAAGGATTCTGCAGGGCATCATCCTGCATCACGAACCTGCTTGCTTCCAGATAAACGTGGGGTAAAGCAACAGACGAGAGACACTTGATGTAGTCTTCATTGACTTTAGCAAGGCATTTGACAAAGTGCCACACAAATGACTTCTGTTCAAACTTCAAGGAGTTGGTGTCACCGGAAACGTCTTGGCCTGGATTTCAGACTTCGTGGAAGCACGAACCATCCACGTGAAGGTGAATCAAACACTCTCTGTCCCCCTGTCTATGACCAGTGGGGTTCCCCAAGGCTCCGTCCTTGGACCACAGCTCCTTAAATTGTGCACCAACGATCTTCCAGCGATACTTCAAACTGACCGTCTAGTCTACGCTAATGACCCTAAACTGTGGTCTGAAATAGTTTGCCCCGAGGATGCCGAGACTTCAAGCTTCGCTTGACTAGCTGCGTAACTAGTCCGTTGAGTGGCGACTCCCGGTAAACCGTGACAAATGTGCTGTTCTCCCAATTGGTGGCCCGGATCCTTTAGGTGCGTATCATATCGGAGGATATCTCAAGTCGGTCACACATGAGAAGGACCTGGGAGTCACCGTCTCACACGATCTCAAGACATCCCCTGACACGTAGAAGATCGCAGCAGCCCACCGAATGTTTTGGGCTCTGCAGAGGTCGTACGGAAAAATTACGCCGGAGATTTTTAGAACCTTACTCGTTTTACAGCTCTGTCCGATTCTAGGATATGGTCACCTGTTCGCCTACCCCCTAACTAAATATGAACATGATCGGATAGAGAAGGTGCAGAGGCGCGGTTCAAAATCTACATCGGAGCTTCGGGACCTTCTCTACATTCTTCGACTTCAGACTCTTAACTTGTTCTCCATGGAATACCGCCGTCGTCGCGGAGATCTCTACACCAGACGCGTCCTAAGGAGAGAGCTTGGAAGTGAGCTGCAACAATTCTTCCGTCTCAAGTTCAAGTTCAGTTGGGACTGGAACGATAGGATAATCCCATGAATGCTCCTTCTTTGGCGTATGGTTGGATGGTGAATTGATAGGTCTGTTTGAGAGGTTGAAAAGCCTAAACCAAAGACCGCATTGCATCCTATCCAACCAATTACTGCCCACCTTTTCCTGCCCAGCAGTCCTTGCCAGACCAGTTTATATGAAGTAAAAGAGTGAATGGCAAGCTAGGAAACAAAGAGGAGGAATGTAAGATAAATAGTGACAACATCAAGGTGTAGGAAGAAATGGAAAAACGAAGGGAAAGTTGAAGATACAAGTCGGTTAGGAGAAGGGGAAGGTTATGTAATGCCATCCAAGATCATCTAACTGCCGTTTGAAAGCCTCAACCGTAGACTCCCTGACGACGTGCTCGGAAAGCGAGTTCCAGCGTTCAATAACCCGGCGCGACAAGCGAGTTTACGTCCTCACCCGGTCAGAACGCAGTTTGTGTGGCTTCAACTAGTGCCCTCGGAGACTAGGCAGCTATGCGGGACTGAATAGCCAGGACAAGTTTGGACCGATCTTACTCGTTGGGATACGTTAGGTGAAGACCAAGTCTCCTCTAATTCTCCGGTAGCGCTTGGAGTACACACTCAAGTTAACCCAACGATCGGGATATGTTTGCCTCCGTAATCCCTGCCCTAACCTTGTACCCACTCGCAAAAGCCTCTCCAGTTCCATTTTGTCCCTTACGACACATGGTGGACAAATCTAGATACAATATTCTAAGTGGGGTAACAAAAAAGCTGAGAACAGCTTCACAAAGATGTCGGCCGTTAGGACACCGAAAAAGCGGCGAATAAACCACATCGTGCGGAACGCTCTACAAGCAGCCTTTTCCCAATTGTCCCTAGAGTGAAGCAATGAGGTGTGGACGATACCTAGATCAACCTGCTGAGTGACAACAGGGAGTTCGCTCCCAATAACTACATAGCGCGTAGGGGGAGTAGCACCTCCAATGCGGAGGACAGAACATTTCGCTTGATTTATAGGCATTAACGATAAGGTTGACCAATCTCAGAGCCTATCCAAGGCACTCTGGATTGTCTCAGAGCCCCCAGGGATATCAAGAATATCCCAGAACTTGAGGTTATCAGCAAACATTAGCAACGGCCCTAAAACCAAACCCTGCGGAACGCCACTAAAAACATCTTGTCTAAGCGAAAAGCGACATCCCACGTGTACACATTGTTCTCCTCCCTCTAGGAAAGTAGACATCCATTTAAGGGCGCCTCCAGATATCCCATACGATTTCAACTTTAATGAGAGTCATTAATGTGGGACAGCATCAAAAGCTTTCAAGAAGTTAACTAAAAGTACGTCGATAGCGTGACTGTTGTCTACTGCCTCAGCCATCCATATCGGCAGCGCGACACGTGGCCACAAGTGGAAATTACTTAAGCCGAGAACACTTCGCCCCCGTCCATATGCTGCTCTATCTTCCAGTGTGGCAAATGAATGGAACAGTCTGCCGGAACACATCATTAATACGCAGACGGAGGAAAATTTCAAGCGATTGCTAGACGCTCATCTAACGCACATGGCAGGGACTTGCTGCGTATACTTTAAAGATGATGACCACCGAAGGAGTAACGTTTCCTGACAGCAAGCACCCACCTTGTAATGATTCGGAACCGATGGAGCTGACAACCCACACAGCACGGTGTCACGACTTCGCCACAGAAATGGCACAGCTTAGTTCCATTGTCGGCTCCGGGCAACGCTGTGCCATAGGTGTGGTCAGTGCACGGAGGGTTTCTATGGGGTTGGCGGAGCAACCGAACGACGAAGCGGGAACGTCGACGCCTGAGTGTCTAGCCAAGGTTTCCAACCCCGGAAGTCCTAGTATTACATTGCCCTTGTTACTGCACAATTACCGCTGATATACCGCGTGCCTTATAAATTACCTAACGTTTTCATAAGCATGCGGAACAAAGCAAAAGAAATACGTTGACCCCAGATAGCGCAGCCTTGACATATGCGGTATTACGGTACCCACAGCCTAACCAGATTAATCTGGACCAATTATTACTGCAGAAGTAATCTCAGTAGTCACGGATAAGTCCGATGTATAAGCTAAGGTAATCACCCACCGTGGCTAATGGATGCTGTACAGTCAACGGGCATGACATATGCATGCATGAGGACACCAAATTTTGCGAGATGTGCAGGTAGTAGGTACGCACAACGAAAGAGGACATCGAACTGCAGGTACCCGGATGGAGGATGAAACAAGTCACGTCCGTAGTACAGACAAGTGGACGGCTTATATAAATGGTTAACGGGGAAACTACAAATCAGGGGAAGTGAAGCACAGGTGCATTTCCTGATTCCTCCTCAATGCATTGCTCCGGAATTAAATCTATAATCTAAATGTGGTTGCTAAATGAATATATGTAGCGTAAAAATGAAAATACCTGGTACGTGGTGTCATGTTGCTGCACAACACGTCTGGCTATTCGATGGCGGGCGTTGTATAGCCACACCTGAATAGCTTTGAAACGTCAGATGGGGTGACTTCATTTGCGGTGAATCGTTCAAGTAAAATTGCTGCACAGATTTGTAATAAAAGATATTGCACTTACCTTGCATGTGCGCGTACATGATTGTACGCCGGAATGGTGGCGCACTACCTATTCTGCAAAAGTTGAATTGTCTTAAAACCTCAGTGGAAGACATCCGTTCGAGAATTCCCGCTGCTGCGTTGGCAACCGGTTCGCCGGGCACTCGAAGTAGGAATTCCTTCTGATGGTAATTTCGCTTACGAAGTAGTTTTCATTTCCTCAGTAGAAAGCGCTGACTCGAGGGATCGTATCTCTTCCAAGCTACAGAGCAGAAGGGGCAATGCGGCTGATACTTGGCTGACGATATGATTCATATGTTCCGCCATCGCATTCATACTTTTGCTCAGGCTGTCTACCTGCTTTAACAACAGGCTCTGGTTGTCTGCTCAGAAGCATCATGGAAACGGTAAAGGCAAACATACCCATCATTTGTTGCAACATTCCCATGTACATTTCATGCATCCGCTTTACATCTTGGCAGCATTTACGGAAGGTATCAGCAAGTGAATCATTAGTATGGGCAACTTAGTTGAAACAGAAGGCTGTGAAAATGGAACGGCGTGCATGCCTGAAGTTGTAGCAGAAAGTTCGGAAGGTATAATAATTTCTTTCGTCGATAAACCTACCAACGGTGTCTTTGTTGCTTGTCATCAGTCCATATAAATGGACTTGCTTTACCTCATGAGTGGCTAACAAGTTGAAGTAATGCGACGTTGTACGTACCAACTGATTCTGTCAATTCATTTGCTTGTAAGGCATCATCTCCCAAAATGGGTATGAAGTAGACTGTCGGGCGACGAGATGGAAAGGCGGTGGCTTCCTGAAGGAAGCGGCTGCTGGTTTTTGTCGTTTCGGCGATCGTAGGTTTTCCACATTGTTGCAATCCGCATACACTTCCTTGTTTCAGTGTTTGGGTAGTAATGAAACAATGTCCATTTACATACCCCCTATGTGTGGTTGATGTATCCCGCGCTGTTGTCTTTTCCGTTTGAGTGTAATGCGATGAATGCTCGTAGGATGGCTCCAAAAACAGTGCGTAATATAGATCCCCTGCACTTTGAACTTCAACCATTTGAACTTACCGGTTCGACGTAAAACGGTAAGCTCATATAATTGGTCCCCCACTGCCGAAGGTCTTTGCGTCCTCAACGCGTTTACGTATTCACGTAGTGGTACTGATGGAATGGCTGCGACATTCCCTCCTGACTGAAGCAATGTGTTGCTTATCACTTTTGTCTCGCACACTTCTTACATGCATGTTTACAATGCAGTACGAGGCCTCTTCCATGGAAACTGAAAGTGAGGCAGTCCATGCCGAAATTGGAAATATGGGCTCTACATACCTGTGCGTCCTGATGTGCTGTTGATTAAGAGGAACAGTGTTGCTGCGTACATCTCTTCCGTGTACATACATAGACGTCTCAAAAGGTTTAGTGCTCGTGGAAGTGCATCGTTCTGACAACCTTAAGATATCGTTCATCAAATAGGTATCCATGTACCAAGATGTCTCATGCACTGATGCGTGCGAGTGTGCATTCCATGAAGTTAGCGGTCGCCGTAGCTTGTTTCCACTGCTGACCAACCACTGCAATCCACCCGACCTATACCACTACGGTTACCAAGGGGCTGCGGAAGGGTGAAGAAAATTCCAAGGAAACACAGCCCGCGGTTTGGTTACCGGACACAACCACCGAAATGATTTGTCAACCGACTTAAATGCAGCGGTAGAAAGCAGATGCTTCTTCAATTACATGTAAATGGCGTTTAGGTCATAGGGAAACATGTTGTAGACAGCGCAACCAATATACATGAAGTTATCATCACCATGTGCGATCACTCCATGTAACTGTGTAAGGTGTGGTCACCTGTACTGTGGTATGCCGGGCAACTGTCATCATCTATTGATGCAGGCATATCACATGTCTGAATGTTGGTAAGGCGCAATTGTGTACACTCTTTACACACAGAAAGCTAAAGCTTCACCATACGCAGGCTGAGTGCGTAAAATGCGACATGTTTGTAATTGCGCCAAATATTTTAAAACGCCGCGGGAAACAATACAATGACATAACTGATTAACTTACTGAGTGATATACAGCACAATACGTTAGCGGTTAGGCAGTGTTGTGCGCTATGCGTGAGGTAGCAGATGATGAATGCAAATGCGTCTGGATACAAAAAGATGCGATGGAGAGATTTGTGCGGGTCTCAATCGTGTGTGGAATGTAGCTTCAAGATCCCTACGCGCTGGTGACCAAGCAGCAATGTGGCTGAATAGAAAAGCAAATACTTCGTATGTAGTTGCATGGTATTATGAAAGCAACCTGGTAATTAACTCAGATAGGATAGGATCAAGGGACTAAACAAACTTCCGCTTAACAAGCGTCTCGTTTCATAGAGATCATAGAGTTGTAGAGAGCAGAAGAGAAAACCCGTGTCAGCTCCATCACCTCCCGTTCATTGGCTGGATGACCCGTGTCGTTGTTAAACTGTGTTCCCCGAGGGATTGTTACAGATGCTGCAAAAACAGCGGAATCCAGGCATGCTCAGCCTGTATTTGTCTAACCGTTCTTCAAAACATTCCTCTGTCTGGGCACTTACCACACATTCAAGGAGATTGTTCCACTCATTCACAACCCGTGTGGATAACGCGACATCGGACCGGACATGGTACCTCCGAGGTTTAAAAGGTTTAAGCTGTGTTGAGTTGGAAGAACTGCTGCACCTCCTTCTCCAGATCGCCCCTTAAAATGCGTCTAGTATAAGTCAGAGCACCATGGCGACGGCGGTAATTCAGAGTAAATAAGTCCATACGTTGGAGACAAAGGGGATAAGGTAAAACACGTAGCATCGACACAGACTTGGATCCGCGCCTTGGAACCTACCCAATGCTCATTCGAGTTTCGTGAGTGGGTGTAGTCCGTATTCCAGTATTGGATGAACGTAGGAGGAAAACGAAAGCCTGACGTTCTGCGGTGTCAATTTGTAGAAAAACGTTCGTATGGCACAGAGCATCCTGTTGGCAGATGCTAACTTCCACAACGTGTCCTGAGTTGTTCGTAGATTCAGATGCAGATGGGACTGGAACGATAGGAAAATCCCTTGAGTGTTCCTTCTTGAGCGGATCGTTGAGCCAGGAAATGTTAAGTTGCTAGGTCTTGATGGATATAAAAAGAAACACCCGAACCACACCATGGTCAAACAAGTACTGCCCACGTTCCCTGCACTAGCAGTCCCCGCTGTGTAAGTCACTTGAAGTAAGGAAGATGTAAAAAGAAAATGGAAGATAAAGAGGAAGGAAAGTCATTCAAATGAAAAATAACACCAACGAGTGAGGAGAATGACAGAATATGAACTCAAAGTTGGAGGATGGGTATGGTCAGGAGAAAAAAAAGGTTTTGTGTTGCCATCCAAGAGCGTCTAAATGACACTCGAAACCCTTAACCGTAAGTGCACTGACTATACTTTCTGGAAGCGAGTTCCAGCGCTCGATAACTCTACGCGATAACCGAGTTTCCGCCCTGATCCCGTCAGAACGCGGCTTGTGTAGCTTCATGGGATGACCGCGAAGACAATGTAACCTAGCCGGGCTAAATAGCCAGCTCAAGTCCAGTCCAACCTTCCCTGTTAAAATGCGGTAAGTAAGGATTAGGTCTCCTCGAAGCCGACAGTAGTGCATTGAATACATACCCAAGCTAAGTAGACGCTCGAGGTACGATGGCCCCCGTAACCCCTCGACCGATTAGGTACATACTCTCAAAACCCTCCCGAGCTCCATTTTGTCCCGAACAAGGCAGGGCGGGCAAGCCTGGACGCAGTATTCCAGGTGGGGCCGAAGGAATGCTGAAAACAGCTTCACAAATATGTCGGCAGTTAAGACCCCGAAAGAACGGCGTATTAACCACAACATTCTGAAACCCTTACTTGAGGCCTTCTTCCAGTTGTCACCAGGATGCAGACGAGAAATAGATGAGGCCTAGGTCTACCTGGTTGGAGACAAGGGGGAGTTCGACCCCACCGAGCACGTATCTCGAAGGCGGGAAAGTTGCTCCTATACGAAGGACGGAACACTTAGCCTGATTAATGGGCAGTAGCCACAAAGTAGACCAGTCCCAGAGTCTGTCCAGGGCATGCTGTATGACCTCAGAACCCCCATGAACATTTACATTCCACAGCTTAAGGTCATCAGCAAACAATAGGGATGATATCTCAAGCTCTCCAGGGAGATCGTTTACCTAGATGGAGAACAGCATCGGTCTAAGGACTGAGCCCTGTGGAACACCGCTAAGGACCGCTTGCCTAAAGGATAAGCTGCGATCCACCGTATACACTGCTCTTCCCTGCAAGAATGCAGACACCCAGTGAAAGGTGCGGCCAGATACGCCGTAGAACCTCAGCTTTTGTGATAGCCTCAAGTGGGGTACCTTATCATATGCTTTCGAGAAGTCGAGGAAAAGCACATCCACTACGTGACCATTGTCCACTGCCTCGGCCCCAACTTCACGAGCAACCAACACATTCGACAGACACGAAATACTCTTCCGGAATCCGTGTTGTGCAGTACTGAGTAGAGTAAATCTATTCAGATGACCTTCCAAGGTATCTGTCACCCGCTTTTCAAGCAGTTTGACCACGACGCTAGTCAGACTGACTGGTCTATAATTGGCTGACAGACTCCTGTCACCAGTTTTGAAGATAGGACAGATGATAGTCTCTTTCCATTCAGAAGGTAATGCACAGCTGTCAAGTGACTTTTGAAACACCATTGTCAGCGGTCCATTTAGTTCCACCGCCAACTCATGCAGAAGCTTCGGGTGAATTGAATCAGGTCCAGCTGCTTTAGAAGGGTTCAGTTCTTGCACCCAAATCCTTCTCATCAACCACATTCCTCAGCAGAAAACCACCAATGTGGTAAGCACCGAAAGGTTCTTGATCAGAGATCGGAAGAACAAAGCACTTATCACGACTGATAGGCATTTGCTACTTGACAGACTAATCTTGTAGCATATCGAGCGTCAGTTGCAAGTTGTCAGCATCTTCGAGCCTGGATACTTCCGAACACAGTTTAAGATCATCCGCATAGATTAAGCAGTCGATTTGGAGCACCTCTGGGAGATGGTTGATAAAGATTTTGAATAGTTCGGGACCAAGAACGGAGCCTTGTGGAACCCCACTGGTCATAAGAACAGGACCGGAGTCAACCTGGTTAACCTTCACCCTCATACTACGGTCATTTAGGAAATCAGCGATCCAGACGAGAAAAGTACCAGCGATGCCAATCAGCCGAAGTTTGATAAGGAGTCGCTTGTGTGGAACCCCATCAAACGCTTTGCTAAAATCCACAAAAACCACATCGAGGCGATGACCAGCATAAACTTACTTCGCCCACTTTTCTCGGGCAATAAGCAGATTGGTAATGCAAGAGCGTGCCTTCTGAAATCCGTGCTGGACAGGAGAGATGACGTTCAATTTCTCAAAGATGCAAGGCCTGTTTCAAAATCCTTTCTATGCTTTTACAGAGAATTGCTGATAGGCAAATCGGTCGGTAGTTCACTGGATCTTGGCGATTCCCAGCTTTGTACATCGGTTTCATAACATTTGCTTTCCACTCAGTTGGGAGAGGAGCTGCTTCAAGTAAGCTCCGAAATATTTGACAAATAAGTGCAGCAATGAACTCCGGCACCTTGAGGAACAAGGAATGTAAGCCATCGGGACACGGTAAAGAATTCGAGTTCAAGTCGAGAAGTAATTCCAGTACTCTGTCAGTAGTAATTCTAACATGCTCTAAAGGAGAGGGGTGACTGGGAGAATCCTCAACAACTAACGGCGCATCCGTCGTATACACAGAGGAATATTGCGAAGCTAGTAGACAAGCTTTCGCCACGTCATCATGAAGCACGGTGTCATCTTTGCTTGAATACAGTGCAGGTATACCGTTGCCAGATTTGGTGCTTTTTTTAAGTACGTGAAAAGCTGTTTTGGATTAATCGCAGATTGCTGGGATCAGATGCTGCTCATATAAGTTTCGTTTCTCGCGCTTTCTCAGGGTACATAAATTTCTAACCTCTCTGAAATGAGCGTAATCTTGAGACTTCTGAGTGAACTTGAACCGGCCCCAGAGTTTTCGCCTTCTCAGCATGAGCGATATGATTTCCTGATTTATCCATGGAGGCCCTTTGGAAAAAGATGGTTTCGTGACCCTTGGAAGAACCCGAGCAATGAGGAACATCATCTTGGAGCACAAAAGGTCCCAAGCAGCATCGAGATCTAAATGATGAGGGATGTTCCAGTCCA